GTTAGCTTCCTCATTTCCTTGAGGAAATGAGGAAGTAATACCTTCTTCCGAGGCTATGTGAAATATAATTTATATTTTTAGTTTATTTTGCCATAGTTTCCAAGAGATGATTGGGCCTAAATTTGACTTTAAAACACAGAGGTGAATAGAAAATGTGATTTTGGGATTGGCACCTCCTGGCTTTTGTGACTCTCTGGCCCTATTTGGAGAACTTTGCATGGAAGCTAACTGGTACTTGTTTAAAAATAATAGAGGAGGAGGAAGGAGATAGGGTTGTAGATGGGGAAGGAGTGACCATGGGTTAGTAAACATTAGAACTGGGTGATGGCCTCAGAAGCATTCATTACACTCCTGTTTACTGTTGTGTATATTCATTACCCTTCATAATAAACATTAAAAACAAAAATTTTTAATTAATATCATTTACACTGCAGTCTTCACTGTTTTTCACACACCAATCAGAAACAACACAACACATTTCTGCTTGGCAAGATGGCATATGTTCTTATAATATTTTCCTCTAGTTAATCTCCTAAAGAGAGATGGCATGTGCCAGGCATTAGTACAGAACATAGCAGTCTCTGTTCCCAAAGGTTGGCTCTTACAACAAAAGACCTTCAGATATCACTTTGGAAAATAATTTTCCATATGTCCCTCCATATCTTACGATTTATAATTGTTTTTAAAGCAAAAGACTAAGGAACACAACACTCCTGATAGTGGTTTTCTCTGCAGGGGAGGCAGGTGGATGAAAATGAGTATGAACAATCCTCCAATTCTTATGTTAGGTGGGTTCACTAGTGTTCAATTTATTATTATGCTTCATAATCCACACAGGTTACATATACATAATATTTGTGTGCATCAAATATCATATAATATAAATAATTCTTTCATAAGCAAATATATAAATATAGCCTAATATAAATAACTTTACTGAAGTTGTCATCATGAATATACTTATTTTAACTAAAAGCTGACTTTAGCTAAAATAGCTGAAAAGGCCTTGTGTAAACCTTGCTATCTTCTAACACCAGCCGAGGCACACGCCTGAGGAAATCAGCTGGGTTATTTCGGTCACAGGCAGCCTCAACAGCCTTCGGTGGCTGAGTCAAACGACCTTCTCTGACAACGTAGGCATGGCAGGCTGCTTGCAAGAGACAAGGTGTCCACAAGCTTCTAAGTGAAGCACTCCTGCCCCTCCCCCTAGATTTTCTATTATAAGTTGCTCTAAAACAGTGTAGAAACAGATATTACTTCTCAAAGAAACCTGGGATGGTGGAATATGCACCCAGGAGACGGGCAGAGGAGGGACTCACAGGAAGTTGAGGGTTAACAAGCCCCCTCCAGAAGCCAAATGAATTCCCTTCAGAAAACTGAAAAGCTCCTGCTGCTCCTTATTATATACCCAGAATGTTCCACCAAGAGTCGTTCCTTGGATGCTTTGCATTTAAACTTGTGAAGTTTATCAGGAAAGACTTCACCCACTCAAAGTGAGGGAGGTCCAGAAATACTACTGTCTGGGCTAAAAAGAGAAACATCTTTCTGGCATGTGGGCCAACTGTATTTATACCCACTTGTATTTATTTTTCCCGAGTAACCACCCAGTTCCTGAAGAGAGAGAGAAAAATATAGCCAGTATTCACTATGTCACAACTTTTGGTGACACATGCAAATGGCTGCAGGTTTTAAGAAATACAAATGCAATATTCATATGGATTTTGTTAAAGGAGAAAACAGACGCAATTGATCACCTCTTTGGTTTTACACAATACGTTTGTTTAGAACACATCTGAAAGAAAACTTTTCCAAAAAGGGGAAATGTTTTCCTTTTACAGAAAATGGAAATAATTTATGTCAAGGGCAAATTTAATATTTTCTTTAATTCGAGATAAACATACTGGTTTACTTCTTGACATTAAAAAAAGCAAGAGAAAGCTTGTCTGTTCCTTTTCCACCCTACTCGTAAATCCAAAAACATTTTAAGATATCCAAGAGAATCATCATTAACATTAGGTATTGACAGTTCTAATGTCCTTAAAACTCAAGTTATAGGATGTAAACAGGGAGAAAGGTCGAAAAGATACAGGATTGTGGAGTGGCATGGAACTTCAAGAGACAGGCTGTAACTCAGATTCTGCTACTGAGAAGTCCTCCATGTCCTCGTGTATAAGAGAAAGAAGATAAGCTAAAGGTGCTAAGAAAAAGTCTTTGAGATGTAGGGAGCAGTTACTGTTATAGTTCCCACTGATTAAGATATGGCAGAATAGACGTTCAATCACGTTTAGGGACATTTGCGTAAAACTACAAAAGCTCAAAGAGCCGGCTATACAATGGAATGAACGGAGCCCAAGAGAAAGACTGAATGAATCACAGGGCTACTGACCACAGGATGATGCTTTCCCCAAAGCCACCTCCAAGCTAGAGGGTAGTGGAAGAAAAAAAACCACAGTTGGCATAACTGCCAAGGAAGGTCAGCGGTAGAAGAATGTATTAGCCAAAAAACTCCTTATCTGCTTAATTCCAATAGCATTGAAACATATTTTCAATATCTTTCAAGAGTTTGTAATAACATCCATTTATGATGATTTGAGATTATTTCACAAAATAATAGAGAAATGCAGATACCCTTGGATTAGTCTTTCTACAGTTTTATCCTAGCTCCATCTAGCTGCATAATATCAGGTATGTAACTTAACCCTCTCTGCGTTTTAAAGTCTTCATCTGTAAAATGAGGATAATAATGGTTCCTATCTCATAAAACTGTGGTGAGGATTAAAATAATAATAATTTACAGCAATATAAAATAATGTACAAGGAATACAGCAAAGATTAATATATAATAAATACTTGATTAATGGTAGTTATTATTATTATTACTATTTAGCAGGCGGAAGAATATGCAGGTAATCTGTGTTCTCTCAAGATTCCTCTTAAATACTATGCTTCAGAGATCAGCACATAATCATCCATCCCACCAGGACCAATGTAAAATAAAGCTGGACAGGGCTAGAAGAAAAGGATTATAGAATCTGAGAGGCCAATAAAGGTAACAGAGTGCACAGAACACAGCACAGAAGAGGAGCTGGAGGTCCACGGTTCACTATACTTAGAATAATCCAAAATCATAAAGTCAAAATAAACTGCATATCAGAAACAACCCTATCTATTCATTATCTCCAATCCCAACTTATTTTTCTACTTTTGATCACTCAGTTCTTAGAATTCAACCTGTGGGCATATGGACCTCTTCTACTATAAGCATGCAGAGCGGGTAGTCTTACAATAATCTATTGTCTAGGTAGTTGTTTCATTTGTAGTCCTAAACTAGAATGACAAATTAGATTTTAATAAAGATTTATAAACTTTCTATATCTACACTGATCAACAGAGTAGTCAGTCGCTATATGTGACTACTGAAGAGAAATGAAATTTCTACTTATTTTTCATTAATTTAAATTTTAAGTCACATATGGTTAATGGCTACCATTTGGACAGTGCAGGTTTAGTTAACTGGGAATGGCTGTCTGCAGCACTGTATTAAAAGGGATCCTAATGGAAGTGTGGCCCGAAGAGGAAAGATCAGGATGCGTGTTGCAGGACAAAGGCTTAACCATATTTGCAGGCTCAGTTAAAGGATTTTATCTCCCCTTTCTTTATATAAAAAGAGAACCTCTCTGATATTTACAGTGATTCTCAGCTATTTGAGGGTCATTTTCTGCTCTTGGAAGAAATAAGATTGGCTGAAAAGAACCAGATTACAGAAGGTAAAAAACAGAACTGTACCAAGGAAAATACATAATGCTCCTTGATACTCAGAGAAGACATACTGACTTCCAGTAGTTTTACTGAAGTATGTAAAATCAATAGAGTGTTAAACTATCAATTATCTTAAGCTAAGTCATAAGCCTTTCTTCAGTAATGTTACATATGTTTGCCATGGACAGGTTATTTTGTTTGCCATGGACAAATGATTCAATAAATTTTTTTAAAAAAAATTACAGAGAGTAAACCACATTATCCATTTTAAATGAAGAAAATATATGAGAGCCACTGCAAAAGAAACCACCATGTCTGAGTTGAAAGTACCACATCCCCCAGCACTTTAAAAATAATACACTTCACTTTCAAAGAAAAAAATAGAACTGTAACATTTGATTGTTTTAAAAATATCACTGTGCTGCCTCTATGAAACACCATCTTGGCCAAGCATATGGAGAAATCAAAGAATGTCACATATAATACTACCTTCATGAGAAAAATCAAGAACATATATTCTCATTTCCAGATCCCAAGATGGGTTCCTATAAATCCCTCCAAGGGAAACCTATCTCAAACTACCATGAAAATTTACTTCCAAGGTGATTCTCAAAGCCTCAAGTTAGGAATCATTTGAAGTTTCCTTGCAGGTTCAAGTGTGTATAATGAAAATGGCAGGATTATAGTTTAAGCACCTTTTTCTGCCCCCAGAACTTTAACCCTGGGAAAGCTCTAAAATTATTCAGGTCTGACTCAAATTCTGAGATGTCTAAAGGAGAGTCAGTCAGTACTTTCATTTAACTGCTCTGAATAGAACTACATCAATTATTTATACTATCCTCCTTCTTCCCTAAAGAATTCGCAGTATCTAACACAGTAAGATAACAGATTTCTAAAACAACTTACTATTTTCCTGGGATTCTATATACAAAAATTCATCTTGGATTTTCACCCAAGGTCTCTTTTACTCAAGTACCAAAGGACTTTTATAAGTTGGTCCCATCACAGCTTGATTCTCAAAGGAAGTATTCTATTGAGACCCTAGCAACCAGAAAGCTAATGTCACAGCAAAATTTCAACTATCATACATTTAAATCCAATCCTTCCATATCCAAAATGAAAAGGCTGTCATTTTTTATCCTCCAAAAAACAAATGAACTGTTGTTCTTTTTCTTGAACTAAAATACAATATCAAGTTCAAAATTTAACATCAGGAAATCAGAGATAACCTCTTCTCTTACCTCTACCACCGTGGTTTCTGCAGCTTTGCACATCGGCAAGTTGAAATTCTGTGCACTTTTCCTACATTAGGGGCCGGAGAAATAAGGAAATGGAAAAAGAAGATGACATATAAGAAGTGCCTCTTTCAGCTTCAAATATAGATTAAAAGAATTTCCGTGAACTAAGAAACAGTGAATCTTTTCAAAAAGAGCATATCATGTTTTCCATTACAAAGTTTTCTAACTACTTCATAAATAAAAACAATATGATACCCACGTCATTCAATTGCATAGTTTTTTATGGAATTGAGGGAAAGGGAAA